TCTCAATTGCCCAGGACTGCATGGTAGACACTACAAAGATCCACAAGTACAGGTATGACTTTGAATAATTTGTTTGCATGATTGTTAGTAAGGAAGTCATAACTCTATTGTAGAGTCCATAGCCTTCACTCGGGATGAGCAAAGGTTAAGTGTGGGGGTGTTGTTGACGGTCCTTAAATCATAATATCTGACCGTCAATACCTGCATATATATAATGAAATAAAACATGGTATCCAACTTAGTGGTAGGTATTATTACTAATCATTACCACTAGTGTTGGTGCAATATGTGTATGCAGGTAATTTGAGGTGAAAACACATCCGTCATACGACAAAATGCACCTCTGCACATCCAAGACACGTTTACACGGATTAGAGGCCCCATAAGTCAATAAAAACCATTTAGAATTGGGCCAAAACATAGTGCAGGTTATTAGAGGCCCATTAAGCAACCTACCAGCCAAAGGAGAGGCCGGGAGGACACTTTTTGGGTTCGGCCGAACCAACCAGTTCGGCCAAACCCGTTATGCGACCTTTCACCGTCTGCTTCCACGTGGACGGCTTGGATTCCTCCCCTATGGCAGTTGCAGGGTGTTTTGGTCATTTCCCATACCCCTAACCGTCATTTGGAGCCTATATAAGGAGGTCTGCACTTTCATTCCAAGACACACAACTTTGAGCTGAATTACAAGAGGCTCTATTGTATCTTTTGTACATTAGAATAAGGTAGAGAGTGAGGGGAAGCTCTGGAGGAGTGCCCGGAAGTTTAGCGCTCATCCGACTTCTACCTCAACGAGTGTAGCTTCCTAGGAGGAATTCTGGAGGAGTACCGGAGCTGTCGGTACACTCTGCTCTAGGTTCGGAGAACTTCTATAAAGTAAGCATTCGTGTTCCTTTCTTATGTTATTTAATTATTTAGTCTGAGTAAGATATATTTCCATCTTTGCGGGTTCATTGTTTAGTATTCATACTAAGTGCTCTCGTACTAGGACTCCGGATAGAGAAGGAAGTTCCTGCGCAAATATTAGAGTAGTAATTAATAACTTAGACATGGTGTCTAGGTTAGAGATACCTTTGTTTGTTGTGTATCCCACAGATTTGTCAGAGGTAGGCGGCAGGTGGTGACAGCCCTGAATCCCGTCCAAGTAATCCTAATCCTCCACGTTCGGATACATCATAGAGCTATAGCCGAAACAATGCTAGCAGACTAGCAGGGGTCGGCACCCGAAGCAACAAATAGGAAATTACCTTTGCTTAGCTTAGATAATTAAAACTCATAGAAAATCCTCTCTAACCTAGCCTACCTACCATCAGTTGAAAAATTACCTTTGCTTAGTTTAGATAATTAAAACTCATAGAAAGTCATCTCTAGCCTAGCCTACCTACCATCAGTTGTTGTCCTTGGATAGTCTTAGCCTTAGGTAGATTACACACGTTCCCTGAGTTCGATATCTTTTTTGGGTCACCCGAAGGTGAAGTGCTACAGCGGTATTCTGTGCGCTTGCGGATTTATCTGTGATCGTAAGAAATACCAACAGCTGGATCCAATAGAAGCTGAGGTTGGTGTCAAAGTGTTTGGCTAGATTTGTCAGCTCCACGCCACGACCTCCCTTATCGACATTTTATCGAACACCTTGTGGCGCCCCTGCCGCACGCACGCCGCCACCGGTCCTTCCACACGCCGCCGACGTCGCTCCGCACTCGCGCCGCAGCCGGTCAGCCGGCACACCTCCGACGTCGTGCCGCCTGTGACCTCGCGCGCCGCCGCCCGGGCCGCCGCCGCCTGGGCCGCCGCCGCCTGCGACCTCGCGCGCCGCCGCCACCTGTGACCCTGTGCGTCCCCGTCACCGCGACCTGCTGGCTGCTGCCGCCGTGTGCCGCTTCACCACTCTGACGCGCGCCCGCGGACGCCGCCACCATAGCCCTCCGCCGGTCGCCGCGTCGGGAGGAAGACGGAGGAAGAGAGAGTGGTCGGGAGGAAGATGTGGAAGAGAGAGAACGAGGGAGAGGTGTGTAGAGGGGTAGTTCAGTGGTATTTTTGTGTAAATACATTGAAAAATTAAAGTGTTGTGGGTCTTTTGGGGTGTAGTCGAGTTGTGGAGCAGCACAAACCTAGCTCCACCCCCGTAGTACAAATTTATGGAGCAACTCTGCTAGCTCCACTCTGAAAAATAAAGAATATGTACCATTTGGCACAGCTCCAATTCTAGGTAAGTTGGAGTTGGGAGCTGGAGCTGTGCCAAACGGGGCCTTAGACAGTGTTCAGTTTCCTTCAAACTTCTAAAAATTCCGACACATCAAAAGTTTGGACATATACATGGAGCATTAAATGTGGACGAAAAAAATTAATTGCACAGTTTACATGTAAATTGCGAGACGAATCTTTTGAGCCTAATTATACCATGATTTGACAATGTGATGCTACTGTAAACATTTGCTAATAACGGATTAATTAGGCTTAATAAAATCGTCTCGCAGTTTACAGGCGGAATCTGTAATTTGTTTTTGTTATTAGTCTATGTTTAATACTTCAAATGTGTGTCCGTATATTTAAAAAAATTGGCACACAAACTAAACACGGCATTATACGAGGGTCAAAGTTACCAATGGTCAAAGTTTTAAAAAAAGTCAACTCTGTCAAAATTACACGATGACGGACAGACAGATATCAACTTTTGAGCATCCATGCACTTTTCCCTGACTGTACATGTGTGTAGACCTGCTGTTCCTATGCAAGCTAGGACACGCATGCACAGGCCAAGTTTGCATTCAGCAAGCTGCTTCTATGTGAACAACAACATGCATGATTGGTCTGACCTTACGTCGACAGTAGATATAGCCTACAATAATCATGTACCGCAAGGTACACCAATAATTCCAGCAATAATCTCTTTTACTCATCCTATTTATGCAAAAATACTACGACCATCCTAAGGCCAGCCACCTTTATAGGGTACTGGTTCTACAATATATATAGGGTGTCCTTAATAGATCCAACAAACAGCTTTGCATTTTTCAGAACTTATTGTATGCCATATTCTAGTTACCAGTGCAATACAATAAAGGTTGAAAAATTATGGTTGAAAATTCAAATTTTGACTGATAAATATAAGCATAAGCGAAAAGATGAGGCCGCAAGATATCACTACGTATAAAATACAAATTGACAGCATTTTTAATGTCAAAGAAGAGAGAGGATAGATTTTATAGAGGCATTAAATTGCACTAATACCATGGCGAACCATTGTGAAAGAGAGAACACAAATAGGGTTCCACCAATCCTCCAACTTAAGACCACACGGAAAAATCATTCTAACTTTCTCTGCACTTAACATCTCAACATCATCTCCATCTTATTTATACGTGCCTTGTGTTACTTATATAAGCTCGGTGTAGATTATCTACGAGACTACAATTAGGGCATGTAGGCGCCCCAACGAGGGTTTATTCATGCGCACGTGTGACAGGGAGTTGTCAAGTGTGCAAAATTCACAAAACTACAAACATTTTATCAAAAATAATACTTAAGTGTAATTCTAACTTAATATCCACAAAACTACAACAATAACAAACAATTTTTGTTATGAAAGCAGATGCACAATGGAGACACATTTTTTATGTGAAAAATCCTTACAAAAAACAAGGGCATGTCAACCTTAAAAAAACAAGGGCATATCAACCGGCAATGATTAATATAGAGAAGATAATTACAATGCATGGGATACAATGGACCATTGTAACCTCCCATGCGGCGCCGGCTCTTGCAAAAGATATATAAAGAGGAAAAAATAGTAATGCTAGTAGGTAAAGAACTATTACATTCTAAAATACGGATCATATATTTAATGATTTTAATATAAAACTGTAACTTTGCCCTCTTTTTATGATTGATATGTGGACTCAATCAATCAAATGGATAACATTATAGTTCCTAATAAAATTGACATGATTTTGTAATTGGAGCCTTGGAAGCGGCACAACTCGTGCAAAATGCAGATTAGCAACAGGTGTCGTAAAAGCCCAACACCACTGATAATGTTTGCAGGAGGAGCATGCTGAGCTGCTGCCCAGGGCCAGCAGTGTCCAGTGTCAGCGGGAACAGAGAGCTCACTCACTTCTGAGGCTGAGAGAGAGAGAGAGGATGGGCCTGGATGATGATAAAGAAAAAGCCTTCAATTGCAACAGAGAGGTGCTTCCGAAAAGGAGGACACACAGTGATGCACAAAAGATTAGGGAGGATGAAGAACCAAAGCTTGGTCCCTTCCTTGTACCCTTTTGCTGCCCTTGAATTATTGCAACTGTGAGACATGCAGAGCTGAGGGGATGCAAGGAGCAATGAGAAGTGACAGCAAATGCTGCCTTCAGAGTTTTGTTCTACTAGCAAACAATGCCATTTTGCCACTCCCTCTGTGTTTCAGATAATTGTCACTGCCATTGTGTTAAGACTGTAAGAATTCAGGATGAACCCAGATATTGTAACTCAAAAGTGATCAACATGGTGTTGCCACGATGATAATTTTCAATAACCAAAAAAAATAAAGCCTAACTCAGTACTGGTTATCTTCGTACGTTCCAATTGGCTTCACTATTAGTATATTAGTAATAGTATATGATGCTTTTGTACGAATTTGGTATTACATGCAATTGTACTATATTCTTAGAATCGGTTTTCAAGGATATACTTTTTTATCTAAAGTAAAAAAAAACTTATTGGCTTTGTTTGATGGTATAGTCCGGTGATATAAAACATTTGAACTATATAAAAACAAAGTGATCAATCAGGAGCGCATTTGCTATTTGAGAAGTCGGGTCAAAAATATGTGGATTTTCATTTAGGATGTTAAAAATCTTTGCGTTGAAATGGCACTGAATCTGCATAAATCATATGAGCAAGATTGGCCATTCTTGTTTTCAGAATTTATATATGTATATATATCAGTTGAGCACAGAAAGCAAAGAAAGAAATGATGCATAGCCTGCCTTTTGCCTCCTTGAAATCTGAACTAGACACCAAAGCCTTACCCATAGTCCCTCCCATGGAGAAATTTACACAAAGCTAACAAAAGTAACACACACCCAATTAAGCTTTATTACATTGAGCATGCCAGAGTGACAGCCCTGTAATTACCAGACCCAATCTCTCTGAAACCATTGGGTACACATATATCATATATCTACACAAACTTCAAAAAAGAAAAAGAAAAAGAAAAAGAAAAAGAAGAAAAATTCGAGCAATTAAAAAGGAGCACAAATACAGTGAGCAATCCATTGCTGGTTGATGCAACGCATTGAGTCCATGGTGGATTGGATGGATTCATCGCCATTGCTGGTGTTTCTTCTTCTTCTTCTTCTTCTTCTTCAACCTTTGGTGCTTCGCCGCGATCCGGACCTCGACAACGCGGCCACCCTCCTCAGCACCTTGGAGATCTTGGCCAGGCTCGGCTTGCCGCCGCCGCCGCCGAAGCTCATCTTCCTCGTCGAGAACTTGAGAGCCTGGAGGCAGCAGAGCTGCCTCACCGAGCCTTCCTCCTCGTCGCCGTCGTCGTCGTCGTCTTCCTCGTCGGCGGTCGCGTGTTCTTGCTTGCGTTCGACGGTGGCTCGTTCTTGCTTGCGTTTCGCCTTGCTGGCGCCGCCCTTGGTGGAGGTGGCGCCGCCGCCGCCGCCGCCGACCTCGTAGGCCTCCCAGAGCATGTCCATGTTGTCGCTGGACGACTCGACGACGGCGCGGTCGCGGCGGAGCTTGAGCTGCATCCGTTCCTCGTAGAGCTTGCACGCCAACGTCCGCTTCCACTCCTTCTCCTTCCGCGGCGACCCCTCGCCGACGACGAGGAGGTGCTCCGACGACGTCCGCGAGTGCACCCGCCGCGCGATCGACGTCGACGGCCGGAGGGGATCCTCCCTTGGAGATTCTTGGTCCGCCGCGTCCTTGAACTCCTCCTCCTGATCATCGTGCGATTCTTGCAGTCGCATCTCGTGCTCCTGCGATTCTTCTTCTTCTTCAGGTTGCACGCCATTGTCACAATCTTGCTCTTGTAACTGTTCTTCAGGTTGTGCATCATTTTCAGAATCTTGTTCTTGCTGTTCTTCTTCTTCTTCAGGTTGCAGAAATTTGTACTCCTGATCCTGCAATTCTTTGACAGGTTCCACATCTTTGTACTCCTGATCTTGCATTTCTGGCTCAGGAAGAACAATTTTGAGGTTCTCTTCTTGCCATTCTTCTTCAGACTGAACCACCACTACGCTTTCTTCAGATTGCTGGTCCTTGCTGCATTTCTCAGTGCAGGTTTCAGCTTCAGATTGCACGCATTCTTTCACATCCTTGAATACTTGTTCTTCTTGGTGCATGCCAGACTCTGCAACAGAAGCAATTTCTTCAACTTCGCATTTTTCAGTGTAAGCTCCACCATCCAATTTGTTGCATTCCTTGAAATCCAGGAACGAGGCTTTCTCCAAACTGAAATCCACCGAATTCTCCTCCATTTCATCAAGAACTTTCTTGAAATTGCCAGAAGCCTGCGCCTCCCACTGCAAGATTCTCCGAGAAACCGAAGAAAGCGATTTCGCGGGAGGCTCGCATTTCTTGATCTCCACTGAGACAGGGTCACACTCCAGTCTCTTCTCCTCAACGCCATCACTGAACCCATCGCCATCTGATGACGAACCAAAGCTCTGTCGCTGAATGTCTTGCACCGACGTGTCGCTCCTCGATGAACAATTCTCTGAAGAAAAATGCGGAGCACTTAGCTGGTTTAGATCCTCGAGAACGACCTTCTTCTCCTCGATTCCGTCCTTGATCTCGTCAAGAACCTCTTGATCCATGGAGATTTGGGCGTCAATGGCGGCCTGATGCCATGGGAGCTCGAGCTCGGTGTGGTCGAACAGCACGGCTGGCTTGTGTTCTAGAATGAGGCAAGAATCGCCGGTGTCGCAGAGCTCACCCATGATCTCGCCGACGCGGAGCACGGAGGCGGCGTCGCCGGGGCCGAGGACGAAGGAGCAGAGCTGGGCAAGGAGCGCGACGGCGCCACCGCCAGCGCCGTCCGGGTCCGGCCTGAGCTCGGCGCGGAGCGCGCCGACGGCAATGCCGAAGGTCCACCCGAGCGAGCACGGCTCCGGCGGCGAGTCCCCCCCGCGGCGGGCGCCGGCGCAGGGGGCGACGGTGACGAGGACGGCGAGGAGGAGCGCGGTGGTGGCGAGGAGCGGGGAGAAGAAGCAGGCGAGCGCGAGGAGGTGGCGCGCGAAGAAGAGCGCGTACGCGGCGTGGAGCGGGTGGGACGCGGCGAAGGCGGCCACGCCGAGCAGGTCGTGGAGCACGGACAGCGCCAGCCGCAGCGGCGCGTCGCGTTCGAGGAGGTCGCCATCATCACCGCCATCGCCGCCACTGTCGGCGCACTGGCGCGGCGCCACCATTGTCGTCTTCTTCGCTCGGTGGGGCGTGGCTTGGCTTCGTCGGCTAGTAGCTGCTACCTAGGCGCGGCCATGGGTGCCACGGAGCTTGGCCTGGACGCGCACGCAATCAGTGGAGGCAGCATGGCGCGTTGCGGCGTGGTGCCATGTGGTGTCGCACAGTGGCGATCTTTGGCATGGAGGGGGAAAGAGATGAAGAGGAGTAAAAAAGAGAGGCAAATTTGATGATGATGATGAGATGAGAGAGAGTGGCTGTGTGCGGGTGGGTTTTGTGGTGATTTGGCGGGAGGGTGTGGCAGTGGCACGGGTTCGCGCCATGTGTAATTATACGGAAATATAATACTACTAGTAATAATAAGGATTACAAATGGTTGGCTCCACCATGGTTTGAATCTTTTGGGATTTTCGGATTTAAGGTTACCCCGAGTACATGTAAGAAATTCCACTGTAGCCGAAAATCTCCACATTGTTCGAATTTAACAGGAAGTTGTAAATTTCAAGAATTTGCACGATGTCGGATACTCACTCCGTTGAAAATTATAGAGGTGTATTTTGTGTTGTTACAATCTCTCCGGCTATAGCCATTTGTAAATGGTTCTAGCTATTTGCTCTCATGTACAATTAAGCTGCTATATCTGTTTGAGAAAACTAACCGCTAAATGTCTTATTCCGCTATTTAAAACATTGTTACGATTAGGCTTTGATTAATAATTACTTTAAATGGACATAATTTTTGTTGCATAAAAATAATGTCATTATTTAGAATTATTTAAGATTATGTTTTTTATAATTGGTCCACGTCTCGTCCAAACGAAATAAAATAAATTAAATACGTCTTATTTTCATGGCCGGAGGGATTACTATTTTAGACATCAGAGTAACTGATTTTGGTTTTCCTTTGCTCTTGTTCAGGACTTCGAGGTTTGCCTTCATTCAGCAGTAGGAATTGCGTAGCTCAAAGGCCACGAAGCTCTTGTACGCAATCCCTTCACGACAAGACTTCGTCGTTCAAAGGTCAAAACGTTCTACTCCTACCACCCATTTGAAGTCCAAATTTTAAATGGTCCTTTCCGTTTCGAGTTCCAAAAGATTGCAAATCTTTATTTTCAATGAAATAATTGCAATTTTTTTCTATGTCTGCTTTATAACTTCTGCATTGGCGCCCGAATTACAGCACTTCATAAGACGAGACTTATTTAATTCTTGTAAACTATTTTTTTTTTGGTCTGAAGCTCCATGTGTGAACTACAACTACAATGAATGCTATTACTGTGGACCAGTACAAAGTACAGACACTATTACGGGAGTACTTTTACCAACTGAGACAGACAAATGGGCCCAACTGATAAGCCGCCAAAATGTTTCTGACAGTTCGTCAAAACGCTCTAAAGCAAGATGTTTTACGTACTTATAGTAATTAATGGTATTTAGTGTTTGCTAGTATCCCATGGTTTCAATAAAGGTAAGTCTAATGGCGGGTGTTCGTAGACCGCGAACACGTTGCGATAGCCCAATCCATTAGCCCCTACTCCTCTCTCTGCCTTATCTTCTTTACACACTGTTTTCTGTGGTGACAGGGACAATGGGAATGGCGAAGATATCTCTGACGAACTCCCTCTGCTCCTTCTCTCGTGTTATCCAAACACAAATTAGCTTCGATTTCCTATTCCTCCACCATCACCGCCTGGCCTTGCTGGCGTCGAAAAGCATCAATGTGTCGGCACGGCTCTGCCTGGTCGGCCTCCTCCCCTACCTGTTGACTCGCTTTGCCCCCCACGTGCGACCGACCCAAGGCTTTGGTGGCATCGCCATCGCCATTACCACCGCCTCGCCTCCCACCCTTCCTGACACCGACTGCCTACCACTTGTGCGCCATCTCCCATGCCATGCTTCTAAGCTCGATCCACCACTTCCACCTCCCAGCTTTCCCCTCAGGCCCTCCCCCCTCCACCTCCTTGACCCTAACACTAACCCTAACTTCCTATCATTATGCGGTTATGTAGTGTTTGCAAGATGCCAATCACGTGCATGTTTATGAATTAGGTTTTCTTTAGCATAAGAATATCCTAGAAAAAAATGGAGGAATTCAATGGCGAATATTCTAGGGACTGTTTCAATGGATCCTTTGTAGCACATGAATTTTCTCTTAGTTCTTACAGGATTGAACTAATCCATGTGAAAGTCCTGCAATTTTTTTTTGGTAAGGTTTGTGTTCCTAAGGAGGCCAAGAAGATCACTCCTTTCTACAAATCTATAATCTTCTTTGAAGCACTGCCAAATATTTATTATTATCATTAGTAGAAACAATTTAAACCATTGATTTATGGCTATTAGTGCCAGCATAAATAAACTATTTTACTACTGTTAGGTGATATGGCAGTGTAGATAGATATGTACCATATATCTAGAAAATAGGACTAAGATTGATTCTACTACCCATTAGAGACTGCTACCAAAATTGTTAATTTTCTTATATTTCTCATGTAAAGCATTCAGACATATTTTCAGTAATTTATACGGTTCAGTTTCTCTTAGGGCGTTCACAGTGGGAGGATGTGTCGTTCAGCCTTGTTGCCGAGAACCGAATATTCGACGACACGTCAGCCAGCCGCGGAGCCAAAACTGGTCACACGAACTTCGCTGGAATCGAGGTATGCGGCACGGGGAGAAAGGCGGGGGCGCGGCGTTGTGGAGGTCATCGCCTCGTCGCTCCGTGGTTTCGCGCGCTGCCATGATGCTATTCCCCTCCAACGTTCTCCTCCTCTCGGTCACCGGCGAGGCCACCGCCCCGAGCAAACCGCGCCGAGCCCCCAAAATGGTGCCACTCGCCAGATCCGGTGAACTTGAGGCCGGATTTGGTGAGCTTGATGGGGCGGCGCCAGAGGAAGAGGAGGCGGTGGCGGCGGCACCTAACCTCGCTGTTGGCGCCGGAGGAAGAGGAGGCCAGATCCGCCCCGCCGAGTTCCTGCCATCTCTCGTTCGTAGCGCCGTCGAGCTCCCGCGTGTCGTCCTTCGCTCGTGTGCCGCCGAGCTCCCGCCATCGCTGGCGCCGCTTGGGCTGCGCCGCCGCCGATACCTACAGCGCTGCCGAGCTCCTGTCATCTTCTGCTCGTGCGCCGCTGCCCGTTGCCGGTACCAGCGTCGCTACGTTAGCCTCGCTTCCTCCGCTAGGGGAAGGCGAAAAGAGGGGCGAAAAGAAGGAAGGAGAGAGATGGTGGGACCCCTGGCGGAGGCGAAAAGAAGGAACTTGAGAGAGATGGTGGGACCCGCGACAATAAACCTGCACTGCGAAGGGTGTGGCTAATAGTGTTCCTAATCTAGGTGGTATTTGAGGAACAGTGAAAGTGGGTGACGCTCTGTGAACGCTCTTAGAATTCAGTATGTCAGTTTCGACATGGCCTAAAGGTGCTATTAACTCACGGAGGAAAAAATTACAGTCAACAAAGTCACTTACCGCGTGTCATTACACTGTCAAGGTACATCACCTGTCTGTCTGAGAGAGAGAGTGTGTCACTTCAATGTACTGCCATGGTACAGTAGTAGTAACAGAGACGCTCCAAAATATAAAAGCAGAGAAAAAGAAAAAAAAAGTCATCAGAAGCTTTTTGCTTGGCCAAATTGTTCCTCATTCCAATCCTCATTCCTCAACTACCTTATGCAAGAACAACTTGGACAGAACAACAAAGACGAATTAACACCAACTAATCAAGCCCATAATGCTGCCATAACTCTGCATTAAAATTTCCCTAGCATTGTCAAAAAGGCCTAGAGCCGTGCAACCAAAAGGCAAAAGGTTAGTGGTTATAGGGTTACATGTTGTCAAATTTCATTTCCCAGAGATCACGGTGATCAGTACCTGCCGATTTGGAGTACACAGAGTAGGGTGATAATTGATAAGGTCACCCGTAATGGTTATTTATAGGCTCTCTACAAGAGATTCATATCAGCATATTTTTCTACTTGGAAGAGATTAAATGAAGAGAGAGAACAAAGCTATCTACTAACCTGGAGATAGTCTATAGAGAAAAACGAGACAATACATTAGAGAGTTATAGATACCCATGTAGACATACTATTGAGGTGGTTTACTATTAATCTAGTCTATTGCTGAGATGTATATATTTTATAGAGAGCACTTTAATTTATCATTGTGGGTGCTCTAAGACTCTTGTTTTTCTGAATTTCGTCGCTAATCAGTAGTACTCGCTTTTATAGATTTGTACCCTCTGCCTCTAACCTTTTTGTTTTCCGCCAAAAAGGTCAATATCAAAGCAAATAATTGAACTTAGATCAGTGAAGATTTCGAGCACATGTCGGCAACAGTTAGCGCCTCACAATGTGTTACACTTCGTCGAGGTCGGGTAGTTCTTTTACCCTACCGAAATTTGATAATGTTAAAACCTTTATCCATGTATTTCTTCTTCTTGTTTTTTTTTGGTTTGTATGTACTGTCACCAACTCACCATAAACCCCAGATCAGATCTATGAGCAAGAAAAAGGAAATGTCTAAAACAGTGTCTTCACAATGCCAATAGCAGGACCAGCAGGCAACTTACAAACATATAGCAATGCTCCATTTCCTGAAGAGACCAACCAAAATGCATGGCCGTATTGGGAAGCAGTTCCTCCGACGTAGAGTAAAGATGGACATGTGTCACTGTCACGTGGGACCCACCCTCGTGAGCCCACACGTCAGTTGGCAGAGGCACAAGTCCCTCTAATTATGGGGCCGGCCGTATGGTGTGCTACATGTATCCGTTCCCACGGCTTCTCCTGCCTGTGTGACCACTGACGCACACACACTGTTCCCTGCAGCTTCAATAATGCAACTACAGATGCAGTGATCCTGGAGGTGTGCCTAACCGTAGACCCAACTGACAAATGTCTCAATAACCTGTTGGTTCATTTCGGGTGTGTTTAGTTTCTAAAAAAGGTTGGAAGTTCGAAGAAAGTTGAGAGTTTAAAAAAATTTGTGAAAGTTTATGTTTGTAGGAAAGTTTTTATGTGATATGATGTGATGAAAAGTTAGGAATAGGGGGAAACTAAACGCATATAGTTATCTCAAAATATAGTTATTGTAGTACAGTGTGCTATTTTAAAATAGAGCTATTTCTTTTATTTACTTCTTCTCTCGATAAATCATAACCATTAGCCATTTAATTGTTTTTATCTATTTTTTTTCTTTTCAACCAATTATATTGTTTCTCTAATCATTTCTACGTATTTTTTTTAACATCCGTGCTCATCTAAGAATGTTTGTATTT